CCTCCGCTCCAAGTTTCACTGTTATCAAAGGGAAGACTTCAGACGGGAGAGTTCTTCTGTTTAATTTTCGACTAATACGTTCGCGAGGCGTTTTAATTGCTTGCAAATGCATTTTCTCTGTACGATTACGGAATCCATGTTGCCTGTGGGCTGCAAGGCTAAGGCGGAATACAGATCCGCATTAGGCTTTTGACGATCAGCCCAGAGGGCGGGGCGGTAGGGTCCTGCCGGAGGAGGTTTTACCGAGGGGGAAAAAGAAACAAGAAAGAAAGAAAAAGAAAACGGAGTTTAAAAAAATCAATGACAACTCTTAAACTGAAATGACTGGGGAGTCTATCAGAAATGTTAATTTCCCCTAAATATCCCACAGCTCTTTTTAAGACTGGTCTGCCATTTCTCATTTGCAATTAAGGTAACGTTTTTCAAAAAGTGACCCTTCTGTTGTTGAAGGAAGAATGGGGATGCGGGTGGGGAATACCAAGAGGAAGAAGAGTTAGCAAAGCCTAACTGGAAAGGAAAGGGGAGGGACCTTTAGAAAGACACCCAGAGTTGGCACCAGCTGAGGCTAACTGAAGTAAGAAAGGCAAGTTATTCATTTTTGGCTGGGGGGGGGAGACGGAGTCTGACCCCGAGCACCTACATACCCACGTTGCCATGACTTTTCTCCCTTAATATCCTGGTCCTGTAACTGGGTCAAGTTTTCGATTTCTGCCTCCTGCCCAGAATCTGCCTGATTTGGAGCACTCTTCTCTGTCCACCTTGGCTAATCAGGAAAACTGAATGAACCAGGGATTAGCATACTGCCTGGTGGACCCAGCATGTTTCCCTTTCCACCACCTGAAGGATTGACACCACCCACCCACTCTCCCACGGTTACTACTGGTAGATGCTAGGAGAATCACACCAGAGTAGGTCCTTGAATAAGAAGAGGTTGCCAGGTCATTAAAAGCTTGAGTAACTGTGAAACTGGGGCTTCTTGAGCGAGGGCCCCCGAGGGCTCCCTGTGAGGTTGGCTCTTGGAAACCCCAGGCTGAGTTTGTCTTAGAAGACTAACCAGGGTGGAAGTGCTCATGGAGATTCACAAAGAAGTGAGGGCAGATAGAACCAGAATAAACACCACTAAGATAGGACACAGCAGTTGTTTACTTTTTTTTTTTTTTTTTTTTTGAATCTCTAAAGTCACCTCTGCTCTTTATGTGCATCCAGAATAAGGAGTGAAAGGGGCTTGGAGGCTTGGAAGGGTTAGGAGAAGTACTGATGAACAGATCTACACTTCTTGGTCACTTTGTGGAAAGAACATAGTGGATTTTTCAGTGTTCCACTGTCCTCCTGTACAAGTACCCTTCCGAAGCCAGGGTCTTCGCGATCATGAAAATTGTCTCCTATTGTGCCAGCTCATGTCTGGGCTCTGGAACTGTGTGCCCCGCTGGAGCAGAACACACTAAATGTCATTCTTAGACAATGTACACACATGCTCCCTTAAGGCATAAGTTTAATGGATTCAATCTCATCTCTACCTTCCTCTAAAGAGGAAGGAAGAAACAAAAGAAATGAGGAAGAACAGAGGGAGGGAAAGAAGATACTGTGGTCGATGTATGTGTATATCCAAGGAAGTATTTTTGGTTGAAAATGCCCAAATAATTACAGTCCTTAACCACTCTACTTCACTTAGAATTATGCAAGCAATTCTGTAGGAAAAGTCTGTTCAAGCAACAGGAGAACAAAGTCCATAGAAAATCCATTTGGAGGAGCAAAAGAAATCCCAAGTAGGAATAAGAAGAAACAGGAGGAGGAGAAACACGTGTTTAATAACTAGGGATAGGCACTTGCTTGTTGTTACTTGTCCACAAAACTCAAACACGCACTGAGTGGCAGATCCTTTCTATGGAGATGTTTGGGACTGGATGAAAACTGGGGTGACCAGTACGGTACCAGCCTAGAAGCCCAGGAAGGGACCTGAGCTTTCTACACCAGAGTCTGAACTGTAGGAAACCATTCAGAAACTCTCTTCTCTAGCTCTGGATCCTAACCAAAACAAACCCGTTAAATATAAAGATTTCTCTGCTGATTCCTAAAGTGGCTGCGGTGGAACAATCCCTCCTGGAGTGGAGCGTGGACTCAGAAGGCAGAGCAGAAGCGCTGGGTGCTAAGAGAGACCCTCTCCAGCTTCTAGGGTGCCGGGCTGGCAGGGTTGCTCTGTGCTTTTATGAGCTATCTTGAGTGCACCGGAGCGGGTCCGGCTTCGGCTCAGGCTGGGATGCTCACTACCGGTTTCCCCAGGGAGGGAGCCCCAGGCGATTGTCACTGTGTCTCCAACTCACCATGGCCAGTTAATTCAATTACACCTCCCGCTGGAGAATGTGTGGCCAGTCGCTCTCCCGGAAAGGGCCAAAGCAGAGAAAGGGGAATTAGCTTTGCTGAAAAGCCCAGCCTTTGGGTCAAGCAGGATGGCACTTATTAATTGCTCAAGACTATTAATTGGATGGGAAGGGAAGGTGGTGGGGGGGACTGTCTGACAGAAACAAACCCCGAGCGCGCTCATCACACACACACACAGACACCAAGCACAGCACACACCTGCCTCAATGAGTTTCTTTAGAAAAGGGGCGCGCCAAGCAACCCCAGAGCAGATGGAAGGGAGCTGCTGACCAGTATGTACATATGGCGCTGATGATTTCCCCAACTTCTCTTTCACGGACAAACAGCTTTTTTTCTTTTTCTTTCTTTCTTTTTTTTTTTTTTTAAAGTTGGGATGAGGCGAGAGGGAGCAGTTGGCCAAATGGGGTTTCCCTACAGTTTAGACGCTGGTGTGGGAAGCTGGGGCACTGGGATGGGAGGAGAGCTTTCCAAAGAAGCCATAGGCCCTGGCAAAGTAGACTCCTAAGCTAAAGGAGATGCTGTTTACCCTCCCCGCTTCATCTCCTTTAAATACAAGTTTTTTTTCTCATCCCTCGTGATCTTTACTTTCCTCTGATACCACGGCGTGGGGGGGGGGGGGCGGTCAAGAAGCACAGTAAATGAAGCCTGGACGCCTTTTGTCTTGGTACCTAGAAGTCACTCAGGAAAACTGGGTGGGGTTAGGGAATGGAAGGGAGAGGTACGTTTGTCAGTTCTTCGGTGATGTCCAGAAGGGTTCAGATGGCCGGGACAAATGGAGGTCATTCTGTGGATGTACTCAGCTCCAGGCCAGAGCTCATTACCGGGAGTACCAGAAGTGCGGGGGCCGCGTGTGGACCTTCGCCCCAACAGGGCCAAACGCAGAGGCCAAATGCGCTGGGACAGCAGTCAGAGCAGGCGGCCAAGACGTCCTGAGCCTCCTGGTCGTTCCCGAGGGAGAGGGTTTTGCGTCTGCTGCCTGGACCTAAGCCAGGCAAAGAAGGTCCCTTCGCCTTCAATGAAGATGTATCTGACAGTAGGGGAGTTGAGGGAGGGGTTTGCGGCTTGTCTGAGAAGGGGCCGTCCTTTCCCATTTGAGCTGGGATGTACTGGGAAACCAACAAGAGCCACCAGGAAAAGCGCGTCTGGCCATTCTCTAGATAACCTGCACATTCTTCTGGGGGGAGGTTTGTACCTCCGCAGGGGCGGGCGCTCCTGGGGTAAGGTGTTGGGGGCAGGCCCCGGCTGCCACGGACGCGTATTTTGTCTGTGGGTGGAATACAGAGGCCTCTCTCCGTCCTGGCAAACAAAAGATTCCACTGCAAGCATTTTGGGAGTCAGCCTCTCAGTGGCAATGGCCTTTATCTCACCCCTCCTACTTAAAGATCAAGTTGGTCATCCTTCCTTTTCATCTTTGTTGAGCTGACTTCATTAGACCAAAATATGGAATTTCGAGAAGTTGGGAGGGGGGCACTTGCGCACCCTGAAAAGGGGAGCAAGTGCTGGCAGCTGATCCCTGCGCAGGACTGAAGCACCGCGGATCTCCATCTCAGACAGTGCATTTCAATTCTTGTCGTGTGGCTTTGTCCATTTATATAAAGCAAAGAGTGCTGAGTGACAGCCCCAGTTAGCCTGCATGAGCAGATCCTAATAAACCCTCCCAAACCCCGACCTAAAAAAAAAGAAAAAGAAAAAAAAAAAGCCACATGCCTGCCTGTTTGCCTGCGGCTTGTTATTAAGACACCTTCTCAGCTTAAACACTCAAAAGCCAACCAAATGCAATGGCAATTAAGACGAAATTACCCCTTCTATCTCTGAGATGAGTCTGGGGCCAGCCGGTTCTTAGGAGGCAGGCAGGGCTGGTGAGCGGACTCAGCAGAGCCTCAGTATTGCGGGCCTGTAGCCACTGCTACCCGCTCTAGGCGCTAGACCACTTGATGCGGGAAGATGAATTTTGAATGAAGTGAAACTCAAATACTGTTTGGAAGTCGAGAAATCCACCGAGGAGACAGAGATAAGTGTGCACTGCCTCCTTCATGCCCTCTCTTTGTAAAATATTACTTTCAAACATTTAAGGGTCTGGGGGGGGTAATGGTATTCAAATACCTGGTGCCCCTGCTAAATGGTCCATACAACATTCAGCAGTCTTTTCGAAAAAGTAGTAAAACACAAAAAGAGGGGGAAAATAGGTTGGGTTGAGGAGTGGAAGACAACGTTTCACCTAAATGTAGAATCTTGTCACAAGTCTTTATTCTCTTATATTTTTCTTAAATATATGGCCAGTTACACTCTTTCTTTATGATGGAAACTTGGGACTGTCCATCATGGTTATTTGTTTTAAAGCTGCTGAAAGTGTAAGCTACTGCCAGGTGTTGCCTTTCAAAAAAGGGAAAAGAACCCAAATTCATGTAAATATGGAAAGAGGAGTATTGTTCCCACTTGGTCAAAGGCAGATACCCCCAAGTCTGGGTGAAATTGATTTGGGTACTCGTTGGAAAAAGCAGCTTTCAGCATCCAGGGAGTGGAACCAATAGGCATGAACACTTACTTGTGTAAAAGGAAGCTTTAATTAATATATATTTCTATCTCTAATATACACACATCGGGGCTAGATCTTTATCTTCACAATAAAATGTGTGCAAATGCTCTTTGCAGAGATGAGTCCCCACCTCAGTCGGTATAGAAAAGCATGATAAAGGTTGGAAAAAATGGATAAAAATGTTGAAAGAACCTCCAGTTCCTTATTAGGCGAAGATACAATATTTATTCCTTGTCTCCTGGGATAAATCTCTTCTGCCTATTGTCCGCCCAGTTCTCAGTGCTGATGCTTAATTTTCAAAACTTCTATATTACCAAGGGACCTACGACATCAGCCAAAGAAATACTCAGCAAGTACAAAATCTGTTCCAGGGAGCTGCTTTTGTGCAGAGGGAAAATTTTGTTCCTACAGGTTTTTAAGTGGGTACTAGGCAAGGAGCTATCTGATCTGGGCAAAGCCATTACAATTTAGATCTCTATCTATAGAACATTTTTTTTCCTTAAAAAAAATTGGAAAATACAAGAAGTTTGGATTTTTTTCCCGATTCTTTTTTTGGAGGGGGAAATTGCATCGTAAGCTTTCGGAGAAACCCAACATGTCAACTACCTTTCCGGGACTAGTCCACGATGCCGAGGTATTATTACTTTTTTTTTTTTTTTGAGCGCGCGTGTGTGTGGCGGCGGCGGCGTGGCGGCGGCGGTGGCAGCTTCCCCTGTCTCTAATTTTTATCGGACCGTTACGTTTAATTATAATCTGGCTTTCGGGGGAAGTTAAGGAAGGAAAAGGGAGAAAGTTCGTTATGACATCTGTCGCCAGGAAGGGCAACTCTCTGCCACGTTAAGAAACATTTGGCATAATGAGGGGAAAAACATAATCCTAATAATAAAGAAAGGGAGGAGGGGGTGAGAAGAGAGATAGAGATGGGAAAAAGATACTCAGAAAGGCAAAGAGATTGATGGGGTGGGGGGCGGTAGGTGGACAAGGGGGTGGGGAACACGCACCCCTTTTGGAATGGGCTTATTCTAGGAGACTAAAGCAGAAAGGGGGGAGTCGGATTCCCTGCCCCAAATGGTTAAGAAAATGAGCAAGTTGGGCGATTTGCACAGACTGGATTTTTTTTAAATATATAGATAAAAGATTTTGAGCAGCTCTGGCAGAACATCCCAGCGTGCACAGCCGCGGCATCTCGTCGTTGGCAGCGGGTTGGAGTGGCGAGGCGCTGCGCCTGTGGACGCTCTCGTTCTGCTGCCCGCAGCCCCGGAGTCAGTGGCAAATCTGGCTCCCGGGTCCGGCTCCCTGTGCAAGTTGGGCAGGGGCTGTGCGTGTGTGTGTGTGTGTGTGTGTGTGCGCGCGCGCGCGCGTGTGTGTGTCACCCGCACCTATATAGGGTGGGGGATATTTTTCCGAGCTCTCGACTGTGAGGACGAGGCCGCCCACCCCCAGTCCGCCTGCTCGCACAGGCTCCCCGGCGAAGGCGCGCAGCCCGGCTGCGGCTCGGCACGAGCCCTGCGCGCTCGCGCCCCTCGGAGAGCCGGAGAAAAGCTCCCGGCTCCGGGACAGCCGCGCCTCGGTTGCAAAATGACAAACCTCAAGTTTTTCTGCTCTCCCTTTTCCCCCTCTTCCTTCCAGATACGTCACGACGGATCAAACAGCTACCGTTTGATGCAGCTTGGCTGTCTGGAGTCCGTAGCCAATTCCACTGTCGCCTATTCCTCCTCTTCCCCTCTAACTTACTCCACCACCGGCACCGAGTTTGCGTCCCCCTACTTCTCCACTAACCACCAGTACACCCCGCTCCACCACCAGTCCTTCCATTACGAGTTTCAGCACAGCCACCCGGCCGTCACTCCCGACGCCTACTCTCTGAACTCGCTCCACCACTCGCAACAGTACTACCAGCAGATCCACCACGGGGAGCCCACCGACTTTATTAACCTGCACAATGCGCGGGCGCTCAAGTCGTCCTGCCTGGACGAGCAGAGGCGGGAGCTGGGCTGCCTCGATGCCTACCGCCGCCACGACCTGTCCCTCATGAGCCATGGCTCTCAGTATGGAATGCACCCAGATCAAAGACTCCTGCCAGGGCCCAGCCTGGGGCTGGCCGCCGCGGGAGCCGAAGACTTGCAGGTAAATAAGCATGCGGCGAATTTGCGCCCTCCCCTCCTCTCCCTCCCCCTCCCGCGCCGTTAATAATCCGACTGTAAGCCGTCTCCCCGCGCCACCTCTCTCTCTCTCTCTCTCTCTCTCTCTCTCTCACACACACACACACACACACACACACACACTCACTCACACACACGCACACATACACACCACTTAGGGAAAGTTATCAAAACAATTAAAGGAGGCGTGTGCCACTCTGTCCCTCTCATTGGAGCAGGCATTTCACCTGGACGCTCGGGAGTCCAGCTAGCTGCGGGCCCCCCCACTTTCCGGCGTTCTGCACTGAGGTCTTTTGTGAATCCACATTTCTGTCCCTGAGGCATGGGGTGGGGGAGATCACGTAGGCTGGGGTTGAGCCAACTGGACTCAGCGTAAGACCCGATGAGTTGATGACCAATCGTACCCTCAGTCTCGGAGCTTTGCTGCGTCTACCCGCGTGTTCCAGGCATTTGTCCCAGACTGAGCTTGTGGGGCGCGTACTATGAATTGGGGGGGCTGGTTTGTTCTCAGAACATTTGGGGGACCCTGAGCGCCAGCTAAAATTTCACCAAATATCCTAGATCGTTGTGGACAGTAAAGAATCGCAAATGTAAGCCTCAAAAATTTACCCCAATGAAAGGCTCTGCACAATGCAATTGGCCGGCGTGTGGGCTTGAGCCTGATTCTCGCTGCCCGAGGAGCACCCAATCCCGTCACCTGGCTGAACGAGTCACAACTTTGTTTTCACTCTCCAAGCCATTAATTTTTACAAAAGATGCAACTCCTTAGAAAGAAGGAAAGGAAACAAGGGAAGAGAGAGGGGGAGAGAAAATGAATAGGAAGGGAGGAAGAAAGGAGAAAAGGTAGGGAGGGAGCGAGGGAGAAAGTAATAAAGGGAGAAAGAGAGGAAGGAAGGAAGGAAGGAAGGAAGGAATTCAGATATGGTGAAGGCGATGACTCAATCAAATGATCTCTCCTACTTTCTCTCTTAATGTATTTTTGCACATTGTTTGCCAACAATAGAATATATGATTATGCAGACATACTGTCACAGCCACATTTCAAACAAATAAGTCCACACATGTCCCAAACAGAACCCAGAAGACACGAGTTTGTGCATTCTTTTGGCTGAAAGTACAGCTCTGCCCGCGAGTCCACACGAAGGTGGCCACTTTCTCCAAGGTCCCCACAATGAAAGGAGAGATACTGGAAGAGCACGAGTCGGAGACATAAGAGATCCCTCGTTGCGCACAGAAAATCTTTCCCCCTCACTTACCTCTGAGCAAGGGATTATTTAAAAATTAAAGCGAAAGCCCTTACAGTCCCAACAAAGAGCCCAAGCCACAAAATCCGCGCACGAGAAAAAAGGTTTGGCTCCATAAACCTTGCTTTCTACATTTACATTCACGAAATAATTTTATACGCTCAGGGCATTTTTACATTTTTCACAAGGATCTCCTTATGTCTCAAGAGGAAAAAAATCTGCCATTCAATGCTTAGCTCAACTAAAACCTATTTACTCCTTTTAATAGCCACGTCTGCCGCTGATTTTTTTGTATCTGTACAAATTTTTTTCCTGTGCTAGGCACAAAGCCGGGCATTTTTCAAAAGAGGGGATTAGAACATTTGCAAGCACGAGACAAAGAGCGAATCCCGTGCAAAAGAACACCGTAGTTTATCCAATTTTCGACTTAGTGCCATTCAACTGGTCATTTATGCAATGTCATCCGACCAAACAACATGTTTTACTTATGAGGGGGAAAAGTTTGTTAAGTGAAGAGACAAAGATTCATTTCCTCTAAGAAAATAAACATCTTAACGGTGCGCCAGAGACAGGGAGGGAAAGTGATTCACTTCCTTGGAGAACTTCTGGCCTCTACCTTTTCCATTTCAGACATTTTGAAAACTTTACTTTCATCCTATGTCTTTTAACATTCTTAACCTCCTTTTTGCCATTTTTTGCTCATAGTGAGGGAAAATTCATCATGAGAGAAACACTCCAAGACACTAGAAGAAATAGAGGAGAATGGTATATATTTATGCATCTATGTCTACAGAAGGGTGTATATACATTTTTGATACAGATATAGAAGCAAGTTGTAAGTTTGGCAAGTTATTTTCTTCCACCCCTCCTGGACTTAGTTGTCAGAATGAAAAAGAAAAAGAAAAAAAGTCATAGCTACTTTTAAAAAGAGAAATGGGGAGGGGATGTGTGGGAGAAACCCGTCTCTCTCCTTTTATTTCTTCCTTTTTAAAACATTCATCAGCATATGCCTCATTTCAAATGCAACAAATGTAAATATACTTTTCCCTGCACAGAATTTTAAGTGAAAGTCCAATGGTTTGGAGGGCGGTCTAAGTCTGCCTAACAGATGCAAACAGTCTTGTGGCTTCAGTTCCATCTTTGAGTCCCCTAAAAAGATTTGCTATGGCCAACAAAGGAAACTGTCACACCTTTTCCCATCACCGCTTTAATTTATGCTCAGTCTCCAACTTTTTTTTTTCATATTGATTTGATAATCACTTTAAGGCAGAACAGTTAAAATAAGAAAGAACTCGTGAGTAGGTTGAAAAGGGGGGTCTTACAGGCCTGCCTCAATATGGTGAAAATGGGGAAGCGAAAGGGAGCCAGGGCTGTAAAGGTTGTTTTGTAAAGTGGGTTTTTATTATGCACCGACTCTCTCCGCATTTACTTAACTCTTCACGGGCTGTTGGGTAGGTTAACACCCTTCAAGGCCTCTTTCAAGTCCAATACCTCGTTTGTTTGTAAAGGAAAATGAGCCTTTAACACATTTCGACTCAGAAAAAAGAAAGAAGACAGAGAGAGAGAAATTTTTATTTTTCTTAATCAAAAATCAGCAGACCTTTTCCTCCTTCCCAGCTCAAATGATCCCTCAATCCATTAGGAGGCTGAAGGTCTACAGTGAGTGACACTGAAGGTGTTTCCTCCATAAGACACACTTTGGGTAGCATGATAGGATGCTCCTACATCTGGAGTAAAACAGAACCCTCCTAAGAGATCTTGAATCCTGCACTTGAAATAGCTCCTATGAGCTCCCAAGAAACCCACAGTGCCAGACTTGACGCTTCTGGTGTCATTTGCTCCACGCAGAAAATGCCGTGGAAACTGTCTATATATATGCTGTGTGCCTTGATGGAGACTCAAAGCGTTTCTCATTCTCTTATGCCAAGATAAAAGGCGCTCCTGTGCTTTGAAGTGTAATATTGTATGGTGCTGTAAAATGCATACCTTAAAATTTATACAACTTTTAGATTGTGGTTTTTCTGACACTTTTTCCCCTTAAAATTGTGTGTGCTTCCAAACTTGCTTCAGCTCAGTGGTTGCATTTAAATGTCTACTTTGGGGTTATGGGGAGATGGGGTTCGGGGTGGGACAGGTTGAAAGACTTAACTAATGTATCTCTTAGTATCTATATGAGTGATTTTCTTTCTTTTTCTTTTATTAAGGGCTCTGTGGAAGCCCAGTGTGGGCTCGTTCTCAATGGCCAAGGTGGAGTGATAAGAAGAGGTAAGTAACAACATATTAAAACTAAACATTCTTCTCTCATCTGTTACTTTGCCTTCAAAGTCCAGTGATGCTTTTAAACATCAGATCCCCATCTGATGATAGAGGAAACAATGACTCTTGGTCAATTACTCTTGTCCCACACAGGCATACCCACATGAAAAAGTTTCCCTTCCTCTACTGAGGCTTGAACCAGCCTGTGTCCAAAAGGCTGTGATAGAAGAGATTTGCTCTTCCTCAATGGAGCAGTGACAGAACCAAAGTTAGAGGCAAAAAAAAAGGGGGAAAAAAATCCTTCTCACACTCCCTTTTCCCATCACCACATCCTCGAGCAGAATTTCTGGTCTCTTTTACCCCTAAATGTGCCAGCCACAGCCTGGGTGTTTGAGGTAATGATGTTAGCTTGAGGCTTTGAGAGGTTAAATTCATTGGGCTTCAGGGAAGGCTAATGAAACACCAATATTGTAGCTGCCCTCATTTTTCTAAGTGTCCAGAACATTTCTTTCTTTAAGAGAGGGTGAGAGGAGGAGGTGGTGTTAACTGTACCGGATAAAGCTTTCTTGTTCCCATCTGTTGAGGGAAACATCTGAATCCAGAGTTACCCATGGAATTGGAAGGTGGGGGGTAGGCAAGAGTGGAGAGCTGTTGATTTTGGCTCAGACGCTGATGGGAGCTGCATCTCAAATATTCCATTTTGACAAAAGGTTTTGAACTATGACATTTTAAGGGCCTCAAGGCAGTGCCAATTTTGCTGGCTTCCCCACTTCACTGTACCCAGAGCCTCTGAAGCTTATTTTCCTAGCAAGCTGAGTAACCCGAGGAGCACACGAGGCAAGGCGGACCAGCTGTTACCCCAACTTCATATGAATTAATAAGATGTGGCCTATTCACTAGGACTAATTCCAGCTCCAGGGCCGCAGTTGTCTCTAGTAACCGAACCACTAAAAACTGAGTCATTTCTGACGGCACCAAATAAATGTCCTTCAGTCCCTCTCCACCCCTTTCAAAGCTTGTTAAAAGACTCCAGTGTTTTTCCAAAGAAAAAAATGCATCTATAGGAAGCAACGGATTATTCCATGTTTAAACTGCAGGTTTTACAACCCAATGTCCAATGTGAAACTCCGTTTAAATTGAGGTGGGAAGAAAACAGAGTTTTCCTTTGGGAAACTGACTATTGTCAGAGTGGATATTTGGAACTTCCATTAAATGGCTATTTAAATCTTTTGTTTCACCCCATGGCGATTTGAAAATTAGTATTTTTTAAACTACTACTGTTGCTCCACAGAGATTTTAAAAAATGAGCCGTATTAAGCTTGTCAGACAGGCCAATACTCAGCCATTTTGAAATGACATGAAATAGGCCCAGACTAGTGAAAATTGAAATAAAATATACATATTATTGGAGAGAGGGATTAAAATACACAGTGAAAGAGGGACCAGGTGACGTGCTGATCCGGGTCCGTTGGGGTGCTCACACTAAAGGTGAGGCCAAGTACTCAGGGCTCCCGGAGATGTCGGTGGTGCTGAAGGACAGCGCCACTAATTAGAGCCCGGAGCTGTCTCCTCCCAGAGCCCGGCTCGCGCTACTGCGTTTTTGCATTCAGTTCCGCAGTGGCTCCAACATCACCTTCTCAAATGCTTGGCAATTACATCCGATCGTACAATAGCTGGCAGGGGATGAGAATTATGAGGCCGAGGCGGAGAGCTGGAAGGGAGGCGGCTGTGCAATCCGTTGAATTTTCGTTAAGAGATTTAGGGGATAGCCCTCACCACCCGCCCAGGAAAGGCCAAAGCTCTCCAGTCACTACAAGATGGAAACTGCGTGCCTGTCCTCTCAGGGCCATGGAAATGGGCTTCCTTAGGTAACGTTTGATTGCTCTTGTAGAATTCGGTGTCATTCACCTAAAAATAGGAGCCGAATTTATTTTAAACCAAACATTGATCTTTTAGAAGAACGGCGTGGCTCCAAGGAGAGAGGGGAGGTAACTTGGGGTTTACGACTGTATTGTTTGACTAAAGCCTAATCCTTCCCCCCTCCATGCAAAGGCATTCAGAATTTAGCTGCTGAGTTTATTCCATTTCCACGTGTCTTAGAGAAAGGCCAATTAATTTAGTTGAGCCTCGGAGACCAGGGTGTGTGTCTGTGTGTGTCTGTTTACTCTGAAAGGATCAATGTTCAGGACAATTTGCAAATGGATAGCAAGGAAGTCTTGCATTAAAAGGTGATGTTTGTCCTGCCGCCTGCCCAGCTCTTTCATCTCAGGACTCCCCGTTTTTGAAGAAACGCTAAGGAAGTCCCTTCTCTCTATTGTCACTGGTAGCACACAGGATTCTAACATCAATAGCTCGAGTCACCTTTGTTCATCAAAAATCGGGAGGGCTTTAACTCAAGCTCTCTGCTATGTCGCCATATTGTGCAATAGCTCAGATGGAAAAGTCTGTTTCTCTTCTAATCCATGCTTTACAGGTGACTCACCATATGAAACATGATTTCTTGAAAAGCAAAACTTTTTGCCATTTTTCCTCTCCTGCTGAGCTCTCGGATGAACTTACATTTCTAATGATTTCCAGAATTTACTGTGGGAGGAAAAAAATAGATTTCACTTCTCAAGACCCCTGGATGCTCTTTTAGAAAAAAGGACAGTGCCCTAAATGCCCTACACGAATTCATCAGGGAGAGGCTGTCCTGTTTGCAGTGTGGTACGTGTGCTTGTCGGGGGGAGGTGTGTGTCTCAGTTCTTTAAATTTGGCCACTTCTGTTTGCAAAGAACAAAATACCATTTCCCTGACTCACTCTGGTAAGTGGCAGTTACACTGTCTTTGCCTATAATGAAGCCCTATAGCCAAAGAACGCGGAAGAGGGTCAGCGGCGAGGTAATTACCACCTAGATAAAATATTTGCCACCGCGTCGGAGGTGCAGCTCCCCGAGCGCTCACTCTCGGTTAATGGTGTGCGCGATTTTGCCCGCAGCTCCGCCACTCCAACCATCAGAACCAATAATCTTTACTTTACCCTGTGCTCGCGTATCGATAGCTTCTCTCGCCTCCGGCACTGGCTTTGATATGTTAATATTTCTGAGTAGCAAATTCTGCAGAGATCATATTAATGTTGTACGTACAGAGTGGAGCTTTGCCTTCGTTGAATATTCAGATACTGGGTTTCAAAAGGCATCTCTTGAAGAAATGAGGCTTCTATTTACAGGAGTCGTCTGTGTTTTTAATCATTAAAAAAAAAAAAAAAAAAGGAGAAGAAGAAGAAAAAGAAAGGAAAACCCACTCTTCTTTTCCCCTTGAATCTTCCGAGGCTCCCTTATGGCCCCTTCCCCTTTGTCAGATGCTCATCCCTTTCATTTCTCGCTCTGAGAATTTAATAGTAGGACAACAATGTTGATGACGACGATGATGATGATGATGAAACTAATAGTGAGAGGATTCAGATTGGAAATGCAGGAGTAGGGGTTCAGTTGGCCCATGGCTTTCAGAAGAGGATGGAGATGAGATGAGAAGACCCAGCTTTTTCATATTTGGGTGGAAAGGGACATTTTGGCCCTGGTCTTTTTTTTTTGTGAAATCGGGATGGCAAACTCAAAAAAAAAAAAAAAAAAAGGAAGAAAAAAAAAAAGAAAAAAGTGAAGAGGGGAAGCGCCCTTGTTTCGCTTTGTGATCACTCTGCCTTGCAGCCCCAGGCTAATTTCAGAAGCTTAAATACCGCCATAGCCTCTGGGCCACGCGGAGAGGGAGCGGACCCGGCCACGGGAAGGAAGGAGCGCTTACTGGATTGCCCGTGGCTACACAAAATACAAACTACTTTGAATCAAAACATTTTGGGGGAATTAATATGATCTGAACTCTGCACGTTTTAAGAGAGCTGGAGTGCGTCAGATCGCTTAGAGGTGACTGGCACACCAGCGGAGGCATTTACGCTGCGGTGCAAACACTGTCAGATCTGATTTAATTTAAAACAAAAAATGCTTCCGTGAAAGGGGGGCTTACCATCAGTCGCCCAGTCTGCCATTAACCGGGTGGATGGACCCGACCACTCTTCCCGTCTGCAGCCTTCACGGCTGCCCACAGGCGGCTTGAGCAGAAGGATGAGATTTCCTTTGTTTTTTCGGGTTTCGCGAGGGCCCTGGGCTTTGGAACTGGAGTTAGAGAGAGACTTTGACTCTTTCAGCAGCTCCTGGAAGGAGTAAGATTAAAGGGGGGGGGGGGAGTGAGAAGCCCTATTCCTTTTCTTTTGTCAGAGCCCCTGGAATCTCTGTTTACTTAAATCACCAAAACTCATCACTGTGGCTCATCCACTGTGAAAATACTGTCAGAAATACACCTGGGGCTTCGCCTGCCGTCTTAGTGCCCAAACACAGATGCTGCAGATGCAGAATTCAGTCTCCTTTATATGAAGTATAAAATTCATGTACCGAAGGATCTAGAGGCATGGTTTGTTGGAAATCTATTTTAGGGGCAGGGGAGCTACTTTTCCATAGCCTACTGATGTCTCTCTAATTTCTTTACTGCTTTGGACATCACCAAAAGCCAAAGCACTCTCTGCACACACGTTACACACCGACCACTACCTTAAACCAGAAGGTCTCTCCGTGCAGACCTCCCTTTCTTTTGTTCTGCGTGGAATCTCGACCTGGATAAGCGCATTCAGACTTGGTAACCCAGTAATACCTGTAACGACCTATCCTTCCCCCAAACAGTGCAACTAGCTGCGGATGCGGCATCCGAGGCCTATTTGATTGCAGTTAGGCCCCTTATCCCTTTACTGTTTGATTACAATTAACATCTGCTTTGCGTGGAGGGAGGGGATTACGTGGGGCGAGGGATGGGTAATTGGGACTGAGAAGGGCGAGAGGCTAGAGAGAAAGCAGCCGAGAATGCTCCTACCCTACCCCGTTTACACGCGCACCTCACAGAAATGCAGCCGCAGAACAAACAGGGACAGGAAACTCCTGTAATCACTTACACATTTTTTAATGTGTCAGAAAAAAACGAGCGAT